GAAAATAGCATTACCAGTGAGGAGGACATAACAAAGTAAAGAAAAAAGAAAATAGCATTACCAGTGAGGAGGACAAAACAACGTAAAGAAAAAAGAAAATAGCATTACCAGTGAGGAGGACATAACAAAGCAAAGAAAAAAGAAAATTAATATTCTTAGGTACAAACAAATCTTACCGGGTATCCATTTCTCTGGAACATTCTCATCTTTGTTTCTCTATCGTGTACTCCAGTGGTGTCGTTAGGTCGCATCATTCGCTGTCTCGTCATAAACATTACTCTGGGATCCCGATGAGTTATTGAAAGTTTAAAATTGTCGTTTTTTATCCATTTCGTAAGGTTATAAGGTGTAAACCAGTCCGTGCAATCCAAAGCGTTTTTACATCTCGTTGGAAACGCCGAAAACTGGTTGTCATAAGCGTTCAGAGTAATGTTGTGTTCAATGAAAATGTTTGATAGCTTTATGTTAAATTGAAGTTTACTAAACACATAAGGATTATTTTCATTGTTTAACTTGTTACGTAAGAGACATTTATTATACCATGCCTCAGGATCTGTGTCCTCGCCACCAATACCAAATGTCTTTAGGGGGTATTTAGCTGCTGAATGATAGGACTTTATGGTTGATATTATGGTTCTGATAAACGCCACTGTTTCATCCGCACAAATATCTATTTTTCCAATCCTGAAAAGGTTTGGTTTGAGAAGAGATGTCTTATCTAACTCTGGTAGACTCCAGTTCATTGTTTGATTTCTGCTTGCTTTACTATAGGCCCGTATGGCTATTTCTGATGCCCGCATATTACTGTCAAAACTCCACATAGGGATTATTTCAATGTGTAGTTGTTTCGCCAAAGAAAGGAGTTGCTGATACTCCTTGGCTGTGTAATATCCTGACCCTGTTCCAGTGCCTGATGGATCAGATCCTAACTGTGAAAACAGACACGACTGTTCAGATTCGTCGTGGCACCTTTTCGAACCCACCTTTAATAATAACAAAAGCAATGAATAGTTCATGCACATACTTACGCTGAAATAAAAAAAAACATATATTGCCACAGTTAAATTGCATGTCTTGAAAACAATTCATCTTTTTTTACAGATTAAAATTAAAAAAAATAAAAATCTAAAATGGTATCCTTTATCGATATAACAGATACGCTATCGTTTTGAAAATTCTTGATTGAAAAAAAGCCTCAAAAATAATATTGTCTATTGGACATAGATAGGTAATTAAGTTTATGATTCAAGTTAATATACAGATCTGATAAAGATACAAAGTATATTAGATAAATGCCATCGATTATAAATATACTATATAGATAATAGTATTATAATGTATATACATGTCATTGTTTTTACAGAAACTATATAGATACATAGTATAATATATACATGTCACCGATTATACAGATACTATATAGATACATAGTATAATATATACATATCACCGATTATAAAGATACTATATATATACAAAGTATAATAAATAAATGCCATCGTTTAAAGTGAGCAAATCTAAATGTAAGGTTAAATAAATGTATAAGTGCCAGAGACATACTGACTGACATCTAAAAAATAAGTACCGTTATTTACTTATGGTGCAATCTACACATGAAGGCTAATTATAAAATATGACTTTATATGAATGGTTTATATATTTTATGAGGAACTTTTATTAAATGTAGACGGCGTTGTTTTGGGTTGAAAATACAAATTTATTAATCAAAAACCTTATTTGATAAGATAAAGATTCACACAATGATTTTAAACACTTAATGAAATTCAGTAACAAGAATTTGTACTTTATAAAATTACTATTCACACATGTGGAATATTTCTACCACCGGCTTAAGAGTGTCGATAATACTTCCAAAAGGTCGACATACTATTTTTTATACTCACATACTGTCGATATCTTCTCATATTATTAATACAAAAAACTAATGTAACAATGTTAACTGGTAGATCGGAGACAGAACTAGGGCACCACAGTGTTCGTCACAACAGACGTTATATAGCACCGATACATGTTGCCTATCGTGTCCGTAGCCTCATACCTGGTTCTGTTAACCATTGCAAACATTTGTATTACTATTTTATCACACAGGAAGCTACCTATGCACGCACCTTAAGTTTTATGATATAATATAACGACACTTATAAAAAGTTGCACTTACTTTGTGAAAACCTGGCAAGGTGTCAATCTCAAGGCGGATACCGTAGTCATTGGCTAATAATAGTTGAAGTTTGTTGAGTTTTACCAGGGCCATCATATGGAGTAGCTTCATTATATTCGGCAATGGCACAAATTGCGAAGCCACGTCTAGAAGAAGTGACCGGTGTTTGAATCGAGGCGCGTCAACTATATGCAGATAAGGCGCCTCGAAATATTGTGTTCCGTCTTGCTGTACTTTCTCTTCCAGGATGTTTAAAAGGGTTTGGAAACCGTTCAGCCATCCGTGCGTTGTTTTACCTACGATTTTGACGTATTTATTGGTAACACTGGTAGTAAGGTTGTACCATTCATCGCTATTTTCCACGAAAGATGGGGCAGAATTGAATTCGAACAAGATAACGTTTTCCGTTCTGATGTCCTTCGTTCGGGGTATATCCAGTTTTGCTAAATAAGACGAATATCATCATTGGTCATAATATAATGTATATATAAATATTAGGTAACATAACAATTACATGTAACGACAGTATGGTACAACATAGACACCGGCCCAAACAAACAAATGATCGTTGGATGAGTATTGCTTATATAGATATATAGGTAGCAGTCTACAGTACAGGGTTGTGGCCATGGGTGATATTTTTGTTAAATGGCTAGCCCCTGTATAAAGATATGTAAAAAAAAATATAAAAACAAAACTGTACTAAAATTGGTATAAGCATGATGAAGTGGGCTATGTGAGCTTCACATTTATAAAAAAAAAAAAAAAAAAAGGTTTTGGTTCGAGATCAAAATTTTGGCCATAACCCGAAAGGGTGCCTACACATGAAAAGCTAGCTTTACAGGAGGTAAAATTTTAACAACAGCACACGACGCAAAATCGCAAAAAATCAAGTTTTACAACTTTACTGGGACCCATATTATTCTGCAACCAAGCAGGTAATCATTAATTTCATACAGAACTTAGGAAAAAAATTACTAGTTGCGGGGGTCAAATTTTAGGTCAAAAATAGCATGTTTTGGTAATTTTTGATGTGGTAACCATGGTTTTCACACAAGTGACATACATAGAAAAAAGAGGTTTATACACTTCTAAGTACTTTATATGTATTGTAAATGTAATGCAGTTTACAAATATATATACATGTATATATGTGTTGTGTAGGGTAAATCCGCTGTGTTTACATTTCCTCGACATGTGCCTTGTTTTTCAGAGTCGGGTCATTTCTACTGTAGACAGCTAATAATGATAACGAAGCTGCAATATCATTTGAAAAATGATAATTGATAATTGAAAAATTGTCAAAAATATTCTGCCCCTTTATTATGAAACATGAAAAACCAGATCACAGCATAAACATTCGCCTTGAAACCTTACATCACTACTTACAAATACGATAATGTTAACGCAAGCCTTTCGGCCGGCTGGAAGCGAAAGCTATATGCAGGAAAATTGAAAATAATCATCTTGAAATCGTCAAATTGTGTAATCAAGTAACAAAAGTGTAACAAATGCATATAGAAGTAGTGAATACTGTCACAAGTGAGGTATATATCTTCCTTATAGCGGTATAACGTAGGTACTCTTATTGGTTATGCAGTCATGCTCACCTTTGTACCTACTTATTCTAAAGAAGTTCTAATGATTTAAATTATTGAATAATTGAAATATGGCCTCAGTGAACGCGTGTTGTATTAATGGAAAACTTACCTGTGAAATAAGGCATCAGGCTGTCTACTTCCGGCCCAACTACTGGTGAATAGAACCTCCAGCTTTTGTCAATCAAAACTTTGCCATGGTGAGCGGTTTTCAATAAAGGCGTGGGTAGGATGTCGCCTGCTTCAAGTTCGTGGACGGTTTGATTTGCTAGTACCATGTAACTTCTAGTAGGCGATACGGGCAAAATTGGATCTCTTGGCGGGTCTCTCGTATATTGAAAGATGTTTGTAAATGGAGAAACGAAATAACGATAAATCTTTGTATTTTGTATCAAGGCCGAGGATTGCATGCTATTTGCTATGTAGAAATTCGGATAAACATCGAAAATACCACTGATAGACGCTGCAGCCAAAAACGTTATACGTCTCATGGTGTTAGGCATTATATTTTTAAATCTAAGAGGATCTGGAGTAAACTTGTACATGCATCCTCCAATGTGTGACAACAAAAAGCCACCTCGGCTGGTGGGGTTGATGTATTGTCCGGTGCTGGTGTTAAATCGTTCAAATTCTATGAGATTTTCGTGGCAAAAATAAAGGCTCCATTCCCCATCAGAGGTTATGATTGTATTACCGCGGTTGCTGAGAATAATTGAAGCATAATAGGTACCGCCAGGGTTGTGGTTTATCAGTTCGTAGTGAGCCGTAAGGTTCCGGGCGATATCTGCCACATTTGCTGATGTAAAGCCTGAAATATTAATAAACTCAGTATTTATCAAAATATATAAGCACCGGGCACTGCTGTAAAAAATGCATTAAAATTGTTCAGATGTAGGATATTTTTATGCTTTTGACTAAGTTTTATTCAGTAATACAATATTGACATTTAAATGATGTTATTTAGAAGGTGCACTAGGCCTCTAGAATTGTTCAAGTAAAGTGATAAAGCAAATACTACACATGACCCTAAGAGGTCAACACATGAACCTAAGAGGTCATCCTCAAACCGTTGATGATTGGTATCGACTATGTGAAAGTGTATAAATAAACTGGAGCTGAGTTTAACAAATGCTTATAAATAAAACACATCATTAACAATGATGTGCTAGGGTTCACGCAAAGTCTTGGTCAGGGTCTGTGTGTGATATATATGTTATTGCTAGGGTTCACGCAAAGTCTTAGTCAGTGTCTGTGTGTGATATAGATGTTATTGCTAGGGTTCACGCAACGTCTTAGTCAGTGTCTGTGTGTGATAAATATGTTATTGCTAGGGTTCATGCAAAGTCTTAGTCAGGGTCTGTGTGTGATATAGATGTTATTGCTATGGTTCACGCAACGTCTTATTCAGTGTCTGTGTGTGATATAGATGTTATTGCTAGGGTTCAAGCAAAGTCTTGGTCAGGGTCTGTGTGTGATATATATGTTATTGCTAGGGTTCACGCAAAGTCTTAGTCAGTGCCTGTGTGTGATATAGATGTTATTGCTAGGGTTCAAGCAAAGTCTTGGTCAGGGTCTGTGTGTGATATAGATGTTATTGCTATGGTTCACGCAACGTCTTATTCAGTGTCTGTGTGTGATATAGATGTTATTGATAGGGTTCACGCAAAGTCTTAGTCAGGGTCTGTATGTGATATAGATGTTATTGCTAGGATTCACGCAACGTCTTAGTCAGTGTCTGTGTGTGATAAATATGTTATTGCTAGGGTTCATGCAAAGTCTTAGTCAGGGTCTGTGTGTGATATAGATGTTATTGCTATGGTTCACGCAACGTCGTAGTCAGTGTCTGTGTATGATATAGATGTTATTGCTAGGGTTCACGCAAAGTGTTAGTCAGTGTCTGTGTGTGATATAGATGTTATTGATAGGGTTCACGCAAAGTCTTAGTCAGGGTCTGTGTGTGATATAGATGGTATTGCTAGGGTTCACGCAAAGTCTTAGTCAGTGACTATGTGTGATATAGATTTTATTGCTAGGGTTCACGCAAAGTCTTGGTCAGTGACTGTGTGTGATATAGATGGTATTGCTAGGGTTCACGCAAAGTCTTAGTCAGTGACTATGTGTGATATAGATTTTATTGCTAGGGTTCACGCAAAGTCTTGGTCAGTGACTGTGTGTGATATAGATGGTATTGCTAGGGTTCACGCAAAGTCTTAGTCAGTGTCTGTGGGTGATATATATGTTATTGCTAGGGTTCACGCAAAGTCTTAGTAAGTGTCTGTGTGTGATATATATGTTATTGCTAGGGTTCACGAAAAGTCTTAGTCAGTGTCTGTGTGTAATATAGATGTTATTGCTAGGGTTCACGCAAAGTCTTGGTCAGTGACTGTGTGTGATATATTGTCAGTGTAAACGTTAACGTAAAGTCTTGGTGAGTGTCTGTGTGTGATATATTGTTAGTGTTTAGGTTCACGTAAAGTCTTGGTCAGTGTTTGTTTGTGATATAATGGCAGTATTAATGTTCACGTAAAGTCTTGGTCAGTGTCTGTGTTTGATATAATGACAGTATTTAGGTTCACGTAAACTCTTGGTGAGTGTCTGTGTGTGATATAAGGACAGTATTTAAGTTCACGTAAAGTCCTGGTCAGAGTCTGTGTGTGATATAATGACAGTATTTAGGTTCACGTAAATTCTTGGTGAGTGTCTGTGTGTGATATAGTGTTAGTGTTTATGTTAACGTAAAGTCCTGGTCAGTGTCTGTGTGTGATATAATGACAGTATTTATGTTCACGTAAAGTCTTTGTGAGTATCTATGTGTGATATATTGTTAGTGTTTAGGTTCACGTAAAGTCTTGGTGAGTATCTATGTGTGATATATTGTTAGTGTTTAGGTTCACGTAAAGTCTTGGTCAGTGTTTGTGTGTGATGTATTGTAAGTGTTTAGGTTCACGTAAACTCTTGGTCAGTGTCTGTGTGTGATATAATGACAGTGTTTAGGTTCACGTAAAGTCCTGGTCAGTGTCTGTGTGTGATATATTGACAGTATTAATGTTCACGTAAAGTCCTGGTCAGAGTCTGTGTGTGATATATTTACAGTATTTAGGTTCAG